TCTTCTAGTAGCTTAAAACCTAACCAACTGCTAGAGCTTTACGTGAGCCATAGGATCAGCCTACGCTTTGGATAAAATATGAACTAGATGAGTCCTCTATCTGATGTGTTAGCGAGCACTGTCGAACCCCCGGCACCCCAGACTCTATGCAGATTTTAAGAGATGGGAAGTTATGTGGACCTGGTGACATTTAGGAAGACATGGATACATTTTAATTCCCTTTTATAATTTCCCTGAGACTACACGAAAACACTCCTTATTCTGTCACTGTGTAAGTGAGAAAGCACACACTGTATTCACGATAAGGTGGAGTTGCAGTCAGGAGAGCCCTAATAATCTAAATAACGTACAAATCTCTCTCTCTCTCTCTCTCTCTCTCTCTCTCTCTCTCTCTCTCTAAAGAGGGATCTGCCTCCCATGTTCCTGGCCTCTGTGGGAACCGCGATCTCCAGGGGAAGTTAGGGTCCTCACTCCAGCCCTTCCCAGGTTTAAAGAGGGATCTGCCTCCCATGTTCCTGGCCTCTGTGGGAACCGCGATCTCCAGGGGAAGTTAGGGTCCGACACTCAGATAGATGAACCTCGTGACGGGGTTTGCACTGCACCCTTGGGTCTCTCTGTGAGACTACAGTGCATTTTAGGCTTTTCTGATTGTGTGTGCATGTGTGTCTGCATGTGTGTATGTGTGTGAATTGATTCCTGACTCTCTAATCCACTGAGGAACATGGTTTCCCTTGAACTGGAGCCTGGTACCAGTTGGTTTACTGTTCAGTGCTGAGAAAAGTCAAGCAAGTAGGCTGCAGAGAAACGGGGGCCGCTCCGTGGCCCTCCCGCTTCGCTGTGCTCTGGGGTTTGCTAGATGGACGGAGATAGGTGGGCTGGACTTTTCTTGGCCATTTGAAGGCAGTTTACCTTGGAAGTTCAGTTAACCCTCATAAGAACTCAGAATGACTTCCTTTGGCAACGCTGGGGTCTGCTGTCCATTTTCCACCTGGGGACAGGCCGCCTCTGTCTGCTCTGGCCCTGGACGTGAGAAGCACGCTCCCTGCTGTCTGAACAAAGGTGATAGTTCAGGTTTTGATGCCTTTCAAAGACATATTTAAAGCTCTCGGCCCTCATAAATTTGATTCACTTTGAATCTGAGGTTAAAATAGGGAAGCGGGAAATGACACTTTCTATAAGACTGCTTGAAACAATCCTAGCAGCATTCTGGCCCAGCAAATGTATTCCAGGCCTCCAACACACAGCCTAGAAGAGGCCCAGGCCAGGGTGCACGGATTAGCACAGGGCTTTTGTGCCTGGGAAGGGATGCTCACAGTCAACTCAGGATGGCTAGGAGGAAGTTAATTTGATTTGATGGCCGAGAAGGTAGTGTGGGGGGGTGCTCAGTTCTATCTTGGCTCTTGGGTCAATGGCTTGTTCCCTGCCTTCCTACCCATCGCAACTCAGTTTGAAGGGTGTTCTTTGCAGAGATCCTGGCCGCGTCAAATCAAAACAAGCTCAGAGGTGCCTCCTGAGGTGCTGAACTCCCAGAGCACCCCTGGGTCTTCGCAGGGCTCCAGCCCAGGCCCCTTTGACAGCTTATCTCCACTTCAGAATGGTTCACTTCTTCTCGTGTCTCCTGTTAGCAAACGGGAGACCCAAAAACGCGCCAAACAGAACAAAGCAAACGTTGGCAAAGGCAGCTGGAGGAGAGAGCCCAGGAAGGGTGGCCGTGCCCAGAAGGAGGCCACTTCTGTTCTCAGACTGTATTTGACATTGCTGAAGGTTTTGTCTTGATTACTTTCAATAAACCCAAAGTAAGGATGACTGTCTTGGCTCACTAAGCAACACGGTTTTATCACTAATTACAATCCTTTATTACCAGTAGTTTAATAGGTTTATGATCGGTCATAAAACACTTCGGTATGGGAGTGCATAAAAGGAGAGGCTTATACAGCTGTGACATCTTAATATCCAGCCACTGTAATCATTTTATTATCTTTAATGGTAGTATTTTTTATTAAAATACGTACATATGCCTTTACACGGGCTGTGTTGCCATCCAAACTGGGAGGCAAAGCAAAAATCACATAAATACATACTAAGAGACCTAATGAGGCATCGTGAAAAGTTCCATTGTCAGAAGTATGTCGACTGATCACATGTGTGCAGTCTCATTATGGGTAATTATAATAAAATTATAAGTGCTGTAATAATTCTAACCTTGAAGGCACAATAAAGGGTGGTTATATTTGCCTTCCTAGCCTGCACATCTGAGGCATTTTCTTCATTAATTATATTTCACGTTAGAATAATTATGTTGGGTTAGATGGGATTCCAAGGCATGTGCTAGGTCCCCGCACCCTCGTGAGTTTAATTACAACACTACCCAAAGTTACACTCTGACAGACGCCCTGTGTAGTCTGCTGGGACTGGAGGAGGGAGTGTGTTGTTGGTGTTAATTTTATTTTGCAACCCAATTAGTAAAGTCAATACACAGGAAAGAGGAACTCCAGGCCCTGGTGCAGTGCTCAGCCCAGCCTCAGCGCCCAGCCCCCTCCTACCAGAGCATTCTGATTCCCACAGTCCTTCGGTATGGAGCGGGGCACTCAGTGAGTTTGTGTAGACCTGCAGTCCTATTGTTTTGTCGATACTTGGAAAACCTATTTGTGAAGTTATGACTTAAATATGTGGTTTCATTTTTCTGGTGCAGTGAGTGTCATTGTCCTGGATTTGAGGAAAAATCTTTGACTTGACTGTCAGACGGTGAAATATTTGGAAATTAAAAAAAAACACCAGGATTGCAAATTTGCAAATTTACATGTATACACACACACACACACACACACACACACACACACACACACACACACTTCCTAATCCCAAATACTCACAAATTTGAGTTCCTACACACAAAGTCCCTTTTAGGAATTCTGTTCTAGGGAGGGGAGCTTTCTCAGTCCTTGAGAATCTTGTCAACCTGCAGGGAAATTTCATTCTTTTAAATGGACTATATCAAGTTCCTATAAATGGTTCCACTCATTAGTAGACAAACATTTTGTAACTTTCAATTAAAACAGAAACGTAACTGGGGGAGGGGTAGGAGCAGTTGAAGTTCTCCAGGGAGTTGGCTTAGAATAGACTCAAATGGTTTGTAATTAGCATATGAATTGTTTGCATGTAAATGGCCTTCCTAAAAGTATTTGAAAAGTTTATTTTTTAAGCATTTCAGCTCTACCCCCCTGTTACCTTGTTTACAGTAACATCACACTTGCCTGACAAAGTTGAGAGAGGATTCTCTCTCGGCCCTTCTGGTCTCCCCACCCCTTGCTCCATCACAAACTACAAATCAGCTGTGAACCAATTAATGAGGTTTAAACAGTATTCAGCTAAATCATGCCCTGGAAGCTGTAATCCAAACACCAGAGCTTGATTATCATAATGTATTTAAATTCAATGCAGCGTTTGCCAAATTCCACAGGGCTGGAATCAATAAGTTATTTCAAAATACAGGCACTGGAGTGTCGCACCGGAGTGTCCTGTGCCTGGTTCTGGTGGCGCCTCTGGAAGGCCTCACTCTCAACTTCTCAGAATCTCTGTGTGGCCGGGGAAGGGCCAGCCCCAATAGCTGGGTCCGTCGTCAGGACCCCAGTTTCCTCCTGTCAGCACGGCTGGCCCAGTGCAGTAGTCACCAGGCATTTCTTCTTTATCTCTCTGGGATGGGCAGTGAGGGATCTTGAATCTGCACTCTGCTCTGAGAACATGAATGCCCCTGTCTCTTGGGCATTCCTTGGGAGAACGCCCCAGGGGACAGTGGCTCATCTCCCTCAGTTCCAGAAATGGAAGTCTTTTTGCTGTAGCTGGCTGGAGGCAGGCGCACGGTGCGTTGTTGAATCCTGGTCTTCTTTTGTGAGGATAACTGATGTGTGTGTGTGTGTGTGTGTGTGTGTGTGTGTGTGTGTGTGTGTGCGCGCGCGCGCGCGCGCGCGCTTTGGGAATCAGTGCCGTGAGGCTGGGACGTCATAACTAAAGCATTCCCTTTTCCTCAGTCAGCTGGTCTGATTTGCATGTTAAATATTAGAGAAAGAGAAGTCTTGTGGACTCCTCCCCTCTCTGAGGGGTCTTTACTGGGTGACAGTTCACTTTCCCAGGGACAAGCACCCGTGGGCTGACTAGTCCTCTGGGCACCAGGTCACTGGAGGCTGCTTCTTGCATCCAGGTCTGCAGAGCAACCCCTGACCGCCAGGCTCAGGCCCTTCGTCTCCACAGCCATACCCGCACAAACGAAAAATCTGGTTTTTAAAACAGCTTTCTGATCTATTTTTTTTTCTGATTTTCAAAAATGAAAAGTTTATTTATTATTTATTTTTAGACAGGGTCTCCTGTTGCTCAGGCTGGTCTTGAACTTGCTATGTAGACCAGACTGGCCTTGATCTCAGGAAGATCCACCTGTCTCTGCCTCTTCAGTGCTAGATTAAAGGTGTGTACCACCATGCCTGGTGTGAATCTCTTTTCTAAAAAAAAAAAATGTATACTTTATTTATTCTACCGTACAATAAATTGATCTCATAGTAAATAAAAGGGAAAACATTCTTGAGTTTATCTAAAAGATCCCAGTGTATGAAAGGGAACAGAAATTTAAGCATAAGTTCCAAAGAAAACAAACATGATATTTCATATTCAAAATGTGATTTGTAGAGCCCTGTGTGGTGGTGCACACCTTTAATTCCTGCACTCAGAAAGCAGAGGCAGGCAGGTCTCTGTGAGATGGAAGCCAGTTGGGGCTGCTTGGTGAGAACCTGCCTCAAAAAACAAACAAAACAAAAACAAAAACAGTGTGATTTTTGCTAAGAAATTGCTGCTCCTGACAGCCACTGCACTCTCTGTACCATGTGGTGGACATGTGCCAAATTTCTTAGCCTCAGAGAGGAGCACACAGCAATTTCCAATAGATTCTTTTGTGTTTGAAGAAAGATTGGCTTGGCCAGGATGAAGTAGAGGACTGAACATACCTGGGTCCATCACAGGACAGACACCAGAAGGCCTTGATTTTCCAGAGACACATTTGCAGGAGCAAAGAATGGACAAAATGGCTCTGGGCAGAGATTCCAACGCATTAAAGATATGGGCCCCAGCATCGACACCCTGAAAGGAAATACTCCTGAATAGAGACAAGGATAATCCCCACTCGTACACCTGAGACTCACCTGGGCTGAGTCAGCAAGGGCTCAGTGTGGTGACATAGACCTCTCCACTTCCCACGCCCACAATGCAGAAGCCACATTCTTCAGACAACACAACTGGCTCCTGTCCATTGGAGCCAGGGACTCTGCAAATTCCCGCATCCCATTCTTTGGCTGCTCCCTCATCTGTCTCCTAGGACTGGCTGGAAGTGGACCTCAAGGAGGCCAGGCTGGACTCTGCTGCTTGTCAGACCCAAATGCACGTTCCTTGTGTGATCACAAATAAGCTGGCTGTTGGCTGTGTCTGCATCCGAGGTCGTGTCCACTTTGAATGTCTTCATCCTTGGGTTCATCTGTAGAATATTTCCCAGCTGAAGCTCTAGTTTTTTGATCTGGGAGAACAGGCAGCCCAGCTGGAGAGCAAGTATGATGTTTTTCTTATCAGAGACAATGGGAGTCTCCATGGGGACCCTTCTCCAAGGGAGTCCTTCTCCACGGGGACACTTCCCCAGGGAGTCCTTCTCCGCGGGGACACTTCCCCAGGGAGTCCTTGCAGCAAAGGCAGCAGTTATAGTCACCTGCCAGATACTAGATGCACTCAGTCCATTCTAGATATTGTACCCAGATGCATCAGGTTCTTCCATCTCGAAGGTGTTGGGCAACTGCTAGTGTCTCTCCAGTACTTGGCCTGTCTTCTGCTCTTCAACTGTGTCCTGCTGAGTGCATCTCTTTACTGTTTCTGTGTGTCTACAGCCACACTCTTCTAATAGGAGAAACACACCATCAGCAATTTGGCAGAATTAAAATTTGGCACTACCAAAATTCTCCCAGGAATTTCCGCGAGAGGAGAGCTGGTGGCACTGGTGTTTAAACCTGCTCTGGATAGGTAGAAAAGAGGACATCTGAATGTGACTGGAGTTTGCATTCTTCAACAGTGAGCAAAGCTCATCTTCTGGATTGTGTAGCTGTTCATGTCGGGTTCTTTCTCTGCGAAGCTTCACTTCATAGTTTTCTTCTTTCTTTTCTGAATAAATTGTATTTTTTCATCAATTTCTAAAATTGTTCACAGCTCAAGAGAACATTCCCTTACCTATGTACTGGCTAAATAAAGAAAGGAGGAGCACTGGTGTGGAGTGTGTCACTGGTGTGGAGTATGTCACTGGTGTGGAGTGTGTCACTGGGGTGGAGTGTGTCACTGGTGTGGAGTGTGTCACTGGGGTGGAGTGTGTCACTGGGGTGGAGTGTGTCACTGGTGTGGAGTGTGTCAGTGGGGTGGGGAATGTCACTGGTGTGGAGTGTGTCACTGGTGTGGAGTGTGTCACTGGGGTGGAGTGTGTCACTGGTGTGGAGTGTGTAACTGGGGTGGGGAGTGTCACTGGGGTGGGGAATGTCACTGGTGTGGAGTGTGTCACTGGGGTGGAGTGTGTCACTGATGTGGAGTGTGTCACTGGGATGGGGAATGTCACTGGTGTGGAGTGTGTCTCTGGGGTGGAGTGTGTCACTGGTGTGGAGTGTGTCACTGGGGTGGAGTGTGTCACTGGTGTGGCGTGTGTCACTGGGGTGGAGTGTGTCAGTGGTGTGGAGTGTGTCACTGGTGTGGAGTATGTCAGTGATGTGGGGAGTGTCACTGGGGTGGGGAGTGTCACTGGTGTGGAGTATGTCACTGATGTGGGGAGTGTCACTGGGGTGGGGAGTGTCACTGGTGTGGAGTGTGTCACTCTGGTGGGGAATGTCACTGATGTGGAGTGTGTCACTGGTGTGGAGTGTGTCACTGCTGTGGGGCGTGTCACTGGGGTGGGGAGTGTCACTGGTGTGGAGTATGTCACTGATGTGGGGAGTGTCACTGGGGAGGGGAGTGTCACTGGTGTGGAGTGTGTCACTCTGGTGGGGAATGTCACTGATGTGGAGTGTGTCACTGGTGTGGAGTGTGTCACTGCTGTGGGGCGTGTCACTGGGGTGGGGAGTGTCACTGGTGTGGAGTATGTCACTGATGTGGGGAGTGTCACTGGGGAGGGGAGTGTCACTGGTGTGGAGTGTGTCACTCTGGTGGGGAATGTCACTGATGTGGAGTGTGTCACTGGTGTGGAGTGTGTCACTGCTGTGGGGCGTGTCACTGGGGTGGGGAGTGTCACTGGTGTGGAGTATGTCACTGATGTGGGGAGTGTCACTGGGGAGGGGAGTGTCACTGGTGTGGAGTGTGTCACTGGGGTGGGGAGTGTCACTGGTGTGGAGTGTGTCACTGGGGTGGAGTGTGTCACTGGTGTGGAGTGTGTCACTGGTATGGAGTGTGTCACTGATGTGGGGAGTGTCACTGGTGTGAGGAGTGTCACTGGTGTGGAGTGTGTCACTGTGGTGGGGAATGTCACTGATGTGGAGTGTGTCACTGGTGTGGAGTGTGTCACTGGGGTGGAGTGTGTCACTGGTGTGGAGTGTGTCCCTGGGGTGGAGTGTGTCACTGTGGTGGAGTGTGTCACTGGTGTGGAGTGTGTCACTGGGGTGGAGTGTATCACTGGTGTGGAGTGTGTCACTGATATGGGGAGTGTCACTGGCGTGGGGAGTGTCACTTTCTCGGGGAGTGTCACTTGGGTAGTATGTGTCACTGGTGTGGGGTGAGGGGAATTAACTGAAGTGTGTCAAGCATGGCCTGGCTGAGCCGGGGGTGCGGGGGGGTGGGGGGGGAGGTCTTTCACCAGTGAGACCTCTCTTGGCCCCTGGTGGTACTCCATTTTCCTACATGGCTCTAGCTGTACATCCTTCTTCAGATGGCTTGTTTTCCATGAGACAACTCAGACATAAACTCATTTAGCTTCGTGTAGAACCTGCCCAGAGATACGTGGACTAAGTCCTTTGTCTTGGGCTGACAGTTGCCTTGGAATGCGTCCTGGAAACCCCTCTCTTCTGTGGCAGGCAGTACAGTACCGGCAACCAAGCAGGTAAGTGTGGTAATTCCCGCTGGGAAGCTGTGAGGAAGGCCGGCATCTACTGGTACTACCTGTCCCTGATGGTAGTGAAATGGGCAAATGATGGTCATCCTATTAGGCTGAGGCTGTGTTGGGCTCAGGGCTGCTGGGCAGAGCAGGAGAAGGCTTCCATGGGAGGGAGCACCCCCATTTCTTCCCTCCAGAGTGAGGCAAGGGTGAGGGTCAGCAGGAGCAAGGTCTTCCTAGAGCCCTGGTCTAGGGATGTTGCTGTCCCCGGATGCTCGGCATGTCTGAGCACATTCTTCATTGCATTGGCTGGGTAGAGGGAGACGTGCCATTGGAGGGGCCAGGGCTGCTGGTGTGTGTGCCCTCGAGAGGTGGGCAGGGCCCACAAGCAAGGCTTTCCTGTCCCCAGGAGCCAACAGCGTTGATGTTGAGAAATACTGGGTGCTGTGGAGGTTTGAATGAAATGTCCTCCATAGGCTCCAAGTGTTTGGACATTTTGTCCCCAGATGGTGGCGCTGTTTTGGGAGGTTTTAGGTGTGGCTATCCTGGAGGAAGCACGTCACTGGGGGTGGGCTTAGAGAGTTCTTAAGCATTGCCAGATTGCCAGTCCCTCTCTTGCTTCCTGTGCCTGCTTGAAGATGTAGAGCCTAACTTCTGCTCCTCCTCCAGTCACTTTTGGCCACCACGCCTCTGTGCCATGATGGACTGTAATTCCCCTGGAACCGTAAGCTCAAATAAACTCTGCCTTCTATAGGTTGCTTGGCTCAGTGTTTCTATCACAGCAACAGAACAGTGACTAATACACTTGCATTTTAATATGTCTGAGGATAAAGAAGAGGTGTCCAGGCAGGAGCCTGTATCTCGCTTGCCACTGGCCCTAATGTCCTCCCACCCAGACCCACCTACTCAACTATTGACCACGCCAGTGAGCACCAGGTGAGCTCAGGCTCTGTTCAGCACCTCATGGGTAGCAACCCTCTTCTTAAAAAATTGTTTATTATCTTTGTTTATTTTATTTATGTATATGAGTGCATTGCCTGCATGTATGTAAGTGCACCCATGTCGTACAATACCAGCAGAGGTCAGAAGAAGGTGTGTAATATATGTGTAAATATATAATAAGACTCTCAAACAAAACTTCTCAGAAGCAGCGAGTGGGTGTAAGCAGGAAGGACAGGTGCCCTGCCACCCCTGGGATTCCCGAAGTAAACGGACTGGATAGTTGGTTCCAAATGCACTTGGTTTTCTGTTGATTTGTGAAGACAGCAGGATGTGGTAGCTCCAGGAGCTGGACCTTGGCTATCCACGTCAAGCTGCGGTTCAGGTTCACTAGGGCAAGCCACTGGGGATAATCCTTGATTCTTTGAGCCCCAGGGCTTCCTCTTTTTTTCCAGCAGCAGCAGAGACAGTTTATTGACCATTACTTCCCCAGGAGGTTCTCCTCCAAGGTCGGGGATTGAAAGGACTGCAGGGGAGTGGAACTCAAAGGCGCACCTTGGATGAGCTAGGGTGGGTTTGAAAGAACCCGATGGAAAAGCCATGACCTGCTATTTCAGCAACTCAAGAACTTTGTGCCCAAGAAAGCCACCCTTGTTCGGTCGGGTCCCTGACTAGCATGTGCTAGAGGGCAGCAGGTCTGAGCCAGCATGGGGCTCCTGCTGTCTGTGCCACCTGGAAAATATTTGGAGGTCACCCTCACACAGGACTCGGGCTGACCTCTGCCCTTGAGCGTCACCCAACATGCTATGGATCCCAGCACCCTAGGACCCTCCTGAGCACATCTCCCGGGAGCAGCCAGTCTGTCTGCCAGTGGGTGTTTCTAAGATGTGGAACAGTACTAACCCTGATCACCTCAAACCTCTGCCTTCTTGGGGTTCACAGAAGTGGTCTGTAAGGGGGAAAATACTTTATCCTGCAACAAAGACCCAGTCGCAGGCAGCACTGGGGAAAGAAATCACTGTGACTAAACTTTTCTCTCAGAGTCAGGTTCCCAGTGGTATGGCCATCAGACCCTGAGCAGCCACCCTGGCTCTGAGTCAGGGGAAAGATAAGTTGTCAAGCCTTGTGGAAAGTTTTGATGGAGAACTTCAGTCGTTTTTAGTAAATCTACTACTTGGAGATTGAAGCCAACGATCCGTCAGGTTGATGTTCCCATTCTCTTGGAACTCCTTCCTGGTGCGCAGAGCACCAGGCGTGGGCGGAAGAGGATACTTGGAAGGACCTTGTAGGATAGGAAAGACACACAGAGGGCTACAGTGCAGACAAATCCCGGGATCTCCACCATGGCAGCATGACCATGAAGGGCTAAGGCGAGACTGTCTGAGCAATGTTCTGCATCCCCAGAACATATCTAGTCACACTCAGTGTTCTCTCATAGATGCGGGCAATGAAGCCAAAGCTTCCAAACATGCTTCTGTCAGAACAGTGGAACCGTGCCACACTGATGGGCACCACTCACTGCTGGGAGGAGAGCGTCAGCACCCAGAAGGGAGGGCAACTGACGGTCGCTTCCCTCTCGCAGGAAGAGGGTCTTTCTG